CCATTTGGGCCCCATGTGGGCCCCGGATGGGTGTGCCCAGCTTGTTGGTGCCCAGTCTGCCCACATGCTGCCCGCATCCAGCCCAGATAGGTGTCGGGTCAGTTAACAAAGTTTTGTAGTAAATTTTGCCCATGTGGGCGGCTGGGCCCCATGTGGGCCCCGGCTGGGTGTGCCCAGCGTGTTGGTGTCCAGTTTGCCCACATGCTGCCCGCATCCAGCCCAGATACCTAGGTGTCGGGTCAGTTAACAAAGTTTTGTAGTAAATTTTGTCAATGTGGGCGGCCGGGCCCCATGTGGGCCCCGGCTGGGTGTGCCCAGCTTGTTGATGTCCAGTTTGCCCACATGCTGCCCGCATCCAGCCCAGATAGGTGTCGGGTCAGATACCAACATTTTGTAGTACAGGAAATGTTCATATCCCAGCAAACATGCCCACATGGTTCCCATATGGGGCCCACATGGCCCCCCACCTCTTCCATATGGGCCCCACATGGGAATAGCATTGGGTGACACATGGGACCCATATGGGTAAGCCCACGTAGGCCCCATATGAGACCCACGCGGCCCCCACATGGGACCCATATGGGCCAGCCTACATTGACCCCATATGGCATCATGTATGAACTTGATGTACTTGGAGCCCAAAATTCACATGAACAACAGTCACCTTTTTTGCTTTTATGCTCTTGGAGTACCTAACTTAAATGGGGCCTACATGGGTGATCCATATGGGACCCACATGGGATGCCCATCTCCAGCCCACATGCGTTTGGCCCACCTGGCCCATTTTTCCCATATGGGGCCCATATGGGTAGCCCATCTGTAGCCCATGTCCCACGTGGGCCCATCTGGCCCATGTTCACCCCATATGGGACCCACATGGGATGCCCATCTCCAGCCCACATGCGTTTGGCCCACCTGGCCCATTTTTATCCCATATGGGGCCCATATGGGTAGCCCATCTGTAGCCCATGTCCCACGTGAGCCCATTTGGCCCATGCTAACCCCATATGGGACCCACATGGGATATCCATCTCCAGCCCACATGCGATTGGCCCACCTGGCCCATTTCTATCCCATATGGGGCCCATATGGGTAGCCCATCTGTAGCCCATGTCCCACTGGGCCCATCTGGCCCATGTTTACCCCATATGGGACCCACATGGGATGCCCATCTCCAGCCCACATGCGTTTGGCCCACCTGGCCCATTTTTATCCCATATGGGGCCCATATGGGTAGCCCATCTGTAGCCCATGTCCCACTGGGCCCATCTGGCCCATGTTTACCCCATATGGGACCCACATGGGATGCCCATCTCCAGCCCACATGCGTTTGGCCCACCTGGCCCATTTTATCCCATATGGGGCCCATATGGGTAGCCCATCTGTAGCCCATGTCCCACGTGAGCCCATCTGGCCCATGTTCACCCCATATGGGACCCACATGGGATGCCCATCTCCAGCCCACATGCGTTTGGCCCACCTGGCCCAGTTTTATCCCATATGGGGCCATATGGATAGCCCATCTGTAGCCCATGTCCCACGTGGGCCCATTTGGCCCATGTTCACCGCATATGGGACCCACATGGGATGCCCATCTCCAGCCCACATGCGTTTGGCCCACCTGGCTCATTTTTATCCCTTATGGGCCCATATGGGTAGCCCATCTGTAGCCCATGTCCCACGTGGGCCCATCTGGGACCCACATGGGATGCCCATCTCCAGCCCACATGCGTTTGGCCCACCTGGCCCATTTCTATCTCATATGGGGCCCATATGGGTAGCCCATCTGTAGCCCATGTCCCACTGGGCCCATCTTGCCCATGTTTACCCCATATGGGACCCACATGGGATGCCCATCTCCAGCCCACATGCGTTTGGCCCACCTGGCCCATTTTTATCCCATATGGGGCCCATATGGGTAGCCCATCTGTAGCCCATGTCCCACGTGAGCCCATCTGGCCCATGTTCACCCCATATGGGACCCACATGGGATGCCCATCTCCAGCCCACATGCGTTTGGCCCACCTGGCCCATTTTTATCCCATATGGGGCCCATATGGGTAGCCCATCTGTAGCCCATGTCCCACGTGGGCCCATCTGGCCCATGTTCACCGCATATGGGACCCACATGGGACGCCCATCTCCAGCCCACATGCGTTTGGCCCACCTGGCTCATTTTTATCCCTTATGGGGCCCATATGGGTAGCCCATCTGTAGCCCATGTCCCACGTGGGCCCATCTGGGACCCACATGGGATGCCCATCTCCAGCCCACATGCGTTTGGCCCACCTGGCCCATTTTTATCTCACATGGGGCCCATATGGGTAGCCCATCTGTAGCCCATGTCCCACTGGGCCCATCTGGCCCATGTTTACCCCATATGGGACCCACATGGGATGCCCATCTCCAGCCCACATGCGTTTGGCCCACCTGGCCCATTTTTATCCCATATGGGGCCCATATGGGTTGCCCATCTGTAACCCATGGCTCACGTGAGCCCATCTGGCCCATGTTCACCCCATATGGGACCCACATGGGATGCCCATCTCCAGCCCACATGCGTTTGGCCCACCTGGCCCATTTTTATCCCATATGGGGCCCATATGGGTAGCCCATCTGTAGCCCATGTCCCACGTGGGCCCATCTGGCCCATGTTCACCCCATATGGGACCCACATGGGATGCCCATCTCCAGCCCACATGCGTTTGGCCCACCTGGCCCATTTTTATCCCATATGGGGCCCATGTGGGTAGCCCATCTGTAGCCCATGTCTCACGTGGGCCCATCTGGCCCATGTTCACCCCATATGGGACCCATGTGGGCATGTTTGCTGGGGCTCAGCCCATATGGGACCCAGATTTAGCCCAGATAATAGCCCACATGTAGCCCATGCCCACTTAAGCCCAGATGCCCCACTTTCAGCCCATATGGGCCCCATTTGGGAAGGCTGGCTGGGGAGCCTTCAGAATGTGTTATTTGTTAGTCTTTCCCACATTTTCTACTCTTGTGGAAAACTTTCTTAGTCATCAAAAATGTATGCACATATGAATAATTAGAACTTCATTTTCAAAGTTTTATAGAAATAAGATTTCACATTACATTATCATAAGGCTACCTGTCCATTTCGTCCAACCAATTAAATATTCATCCAGCAGAAGGCAGGTACCTCTGAGAAGGTACTGATATCTCTTATCTACACCAATATTTCAGGAAAATGACAGAGACTGAGAAGCTATTATGATTAACACTTCAGCGTATGAAAGGGAAGTTATGGCTTATGCACATTGAAAAACATCAGAAAATGCTATTGAACCATCTCATTCACCAGCACACATCAATCTGGCTCCTAGCTTCTGTCAAGGAAACATTCCAAAATAATGCATTATTTTATTTCATTGACCACCTTGCAAAAGACAAACAGCAAACACATCACCACCAAAAACAAAAATAGTCAACAGGTAGGTACCAGCTGATCTAGCCGTGCTGTGTCATGTGCCTTTGAAAAACTTGAGCAGTCAGGGTTGAATAAACACCCCAAACTTAGCCATTCATGCATGAACAAGGGCAAATTCTGGTTGAGCATTTTAATAAAAATGAAACTAACAGCATTGTAGATTACAATTATAAAAAAGACAATTACAAAAAAACAGCAGAGCTTACTCTACAAGGCATAACCATTAATTTTATAACTGACATCCAAATTCGCATCTCCTAAGTTTAACCCACCTACCAGCCACCTGCACATTTCTGCGCACATGTGCTGCGCAGTGTGCACAGTCACTACACATTACACAATTATGAGAATTAAAATAGTTTTAAACAATCAAGCAAGTCAGGACTGGTATGCAGATTCACAAGTTCTCTCAACATCTTCAATTACCAACAATCAAGAGCACCTTGTGATCTCAGTAACTCCGCAGATCCATCTTCTGTTTTCCATTTTCAGTTTTCAATTGAAATATAAGTTCCATCTGGGAGACACATGTTGCATCATTATGTTTAAACAATTATTATGCTTGAACTTTTGATTTTTCATGTGAACTTCACTTCAAAAGTTGATTCAATTTTTAAAGTTGATTAGTTTGTATAATGCTACGATCACGGCGCACCAAATCACAGATAACTTGAAAATAACCAAGCAAAAGCCACATTCTTCAGCAAACTATGAGAGCTATCTGATCCATGCTGCGTTGAAATAATTGAAAATCGCCAAAATCAATCAAAATATGACAATTAAATCAATATAAACTTCACAAAACTCTGATTTGTGAGGCAATGCGCAACAGAAATGCGAGGGAATATGGTAGTAATCTGGTAGCAATTATGAAGGATTTCCCCTGTCGCTGATGAAAAAACACTTAAAACAAATTTTTCAACGCAGAGGAAATCCTTCATTATGAGTTGCAGGGACCATTTGATTGGCCCATTTTAGATAAATATAGGCCGAATGTTTCGATTTCAACCCCATTTATCGTAATGAGACGAATCCATTGGCTTAGTGGTACGTCTTTTGAACACATGTAGGCCTTAGATTTCTCCTTAGCCCGCCTGAAACACACCATGCTTTGCATGCATTTCTATGGGTGAAGGAAAATTCATGCGCCGTGATGACGTCACGGTAAAGGAATTCTGAAGCTCGTGAACGGGGGCTGGGTGCCAATCGACCATGCCAGCAGGTCCCTCACTCCAGCGGAGAAAAACTACTCGCAGTTTGAAAAGGAGTCGCTTGCGCAGGCATGGGGCATCAACTACCACCGCCATTACCTCCTCGGGATCAAGTTCGAGACCTTCACAGACCACAGGCCCCTTCTGGCGATCTACAACGGTGGGCGACGCGGTAACGCACGCGTAGAGCGCCACAGACTAAAGGTCCAGGAGTACACCTTCACCGCCCACCACCTCCCAGGGACAAACAATCCCTGTGACTTCGCTTCGCGGCACCCGAAGCCTCTCCACCGTTACAGCGACGCAGAACGTCATGACATGGATCTGGAGGGGAAGATGAGGTGTGCATCAGCACGTTGATCACCAGCGATCTCCCAGACGCCGTAGACTTGAAAACCGTCCAGACTGCCACGCAGGGCGACGGCACCGCACGGAAGCTGGTCACATGCATACAGCGGGGGAGCCTCGACCAAGACCCCGACCTGGTTCCGTTTCGCGGGGTCTTCCCGGAGCTGATGTACGCCAGAGGTGTCATCCTCAAGCAGGACCGACTCTTCATTCCCGACGTCGAACTGTACCCTGGGTCTGGAAGTCTCCAAGATGTCGTTGTTGACCTCGCACATGAAGGTCATCAAGGGGTGGTGAAGTGCAAGAGACTACTTCGCTCCAAGGTCTGGTTTCCGGGGATGGACAAGAAAGTTGAACAGAAAATCTCTCGGTGCCTGGGGTGCCAGGCGTTGACACCGACCACTCGGCGGGACCCCCTGCAACCGTCCCCACTTCCGGATCACGCTTGGCAGCATCTCGACGCGGATTTTTGGGGCCCACTGCCAAGCAATGGGGAGTACTTGCTCGTGCTGATCGACGAGTACTCTCGGTACCCGGTGGTGGAGCTAACGCGCGGCACCAGTGGAGAAGCGGTGATACCGGTCCTGGACAAGGTGTTTTCCACGCATGGATTCCCGGAAACGCTGAAAACGGACGGCGGGCCTCCGTTTAATGGACACGACTTTCAAACGTACCTGCGTTGGGCGGGCTGCAAGCACCGCAAGGTGAGCCCGGAGGATCCGGAGGCCAATGGGCTGGCCGAAAACTTCATGAAGATCCTGAAAAAATCATGGCACACGTCCGTGATCGAAGATAAGAACCCGATGCAGGAGATGTACAAGATGCTGCGACAGTACAGGGCCACCCCACACAGCAGCACCGGTAAGCCACCGGCGGAGGTCCTGTTCAACAGACCATACAAGGTCAGACTGCCAAATCCAGCTTGGCCAACGCATGGCAGTCCACTGGAAGCAGCACACAACGCTGCTAAGGCCTCTCAGAAGCACTACAAAGACGGCAAGTCAAACGTTCGAGCACACAACATCGCTGTAGGCGACACAGTCCTTCTGCGGCAAACGGCAACAAAGCAAAAGCCCTGGTATGATCCTTCACCATATCAGGTCATCAAGGTCCTCGGCACGCAAATCACGGCCAGCCGAGGCCAGAAGACAATCACAAGAGATGCGCAGCGCCTCAAGAAGGTGTGTCTCGATCCGTCAGACGCTACCCGGTACAGGGAACAGCGGTATCCGATGGACCACCGCACAGGAGACGAGCACTGGCCAGACCTGCATGGCCCAGTGAGTGGTGATACCGTCGCTCGGCCTCCGGAGCCCGGCCAGAGTGTCACCGGCGCTACTGGAGCCCTGACGTCGGACAGCGCCGATGCCGACGGGGCCGAACACCGCACGGAGGCCGGCGCGAACGAGTCGACTGCCGCCGGAGAGGGTGGGTCGCGCGATGCGACAACGACAACACCCGGACTCGGTCGGCAGCGCCGGTCCGAACGGGTGACGCGGGCCCCGGTGTACCTCCGCGAGTATGTGCAGTGAATCCGGCAGGACTGGCTCGCGCACGGCACCACGGAGAACTATCTCATGTTACACATACGAAGTGCGATTGTTGCTGCTGTAACGTAACCCGCACGGTTACATATTCATACATTGACACTTTTTTGTATCTTTTTATTTCTTTCTGTTAACCGTTTAGGTGCAAGGTATGTAGGTACATCGCTCAGTCGAGATCACCATATTGCAGAGGAGAGGTGTAAGGTCCTGTTACGTTATCGTGCTACTTTTTTCTTGTGTTCCGACCTTCGTGTTTGTTAGCTAGTCGGCCGAAAAGTCAGCTGTATCCGTGTGGGGGCAAGCAGACTGGAGCAGACTGAGCTTTCCGTTCACTCTTTACAGTGTAGGTACATTGGACAGTCCAGACCTCCTTGGGCAGAGGAGAGATGTAATGTCCTAAGCAGCCAGTTATGTTGACCGCATCCTGACAGTGTTCTCTCTTTCAGGATGCGTTGGCCAATACATTGACAGACTGATCTAGTACTTTACACGTATGGCCTCCTGGCTGCGAGATGTTTTTTTCCGACCACTGTTTCCGGCATTCTGGTTGCTAACGGACCCTTCTGCCAGAAACTTCTCAGTCAGACGCTGTATGGTCTTTATCTTTGGAGCTTCTCGGACCTTAACCCGCGCACCGACGGGGGTCTGCGCCAACTTAGTACCGACGGGGGGGGGGGGCAGATGACCGCCCCCCCAGAGATCTCGAGAACGAAGCAAGATAGCGACAAGCGGTAAACGGCATCGGATACGCACGGTCAAGATCTACAATTTTTACTAAGGTCATTTTCAGGTCAGGTCAAAGATGACGTCACAGGGGTCGAAAAAGTCAAAATGGCGGCGCTAAATATGGAGAGAGTTTTTCTCGAATAACTTTCGAATTAGTCAAGATAGGAACAAACTAAGGGCATCATCGTGATCCTCTCGTCAATCCGCATCGAATGATATATATGTTAACCTCGAAAGGTCAAGGTCAAAGGTTGACCTCAGGTCACGTGACCTCGAGGTCATCATGTATATCATTCGATGCGTCTTGACGAGCTGAACACAATGAGACCATCCACGCGTCTGTATCTTGTTCCTGTACGGAGTTATTGGCCAAAAACCTTTGGTGACCTTTGATGACGTCACATGACCTCACAGCTGCCCAACAGCAAAACAGACCTCAAGGTAGTGAAGGTTGATCGTATATGAAGTCATGTATGGTATATGGGGCCATTCCGACCCGTTTTAGTGGTAAAAACAGGGAGTTGATTTTTCCCCCATTGACTTATAATGGGGAGGTCGCGAAATTGACCTGACCTTAGGTCACCGATATCAACATTCCGAGATATACAAATTGTAGCTACTAATGACCTAATAACATCCTGCGACTTTCAAAGGCCTCCGACACCTACTGTAGCTCTGGCACGGTGACAAAGTTGCAAAAAAGTGACTTGAGGTTGGGTCATTCAAAGTGACCTGGTGACCTGACCTTGAAAGGTAGGAGGTTCAAACTTGCACACCATGTGTAAAATTGATAAGGGAATAGTCATACCAAATTTCGCGGCGCTACGCGCCGCGGTTTTCCCGCTATTCGCGAAAAACCTCAGGGGGGGCGGATATCCGCCCCCCCCCCGTCGGTGCGCGGGTTAAAATGTCTGCGATACTGCCTTTGCGTTAAAACGGCTGATCCGTGTTTGAGATAAAATTCGACTTTTTTGGTTTTTTGTTCAGTATTAAACGGCTTCATGATTGACAGAGCGCTCGAGCCGCTCGAGCCATACAACATAATTTCCATGAACCTCGCTTTCGATTGACGTTAAAATTTTACATGTCACGCGCATATTTTTCTTTGTACTTCTAATTAAAATTTGGTACTTTTTTCTGGGACACCCGGTATTTTTAAAGTCGCAATCTTATGCTCCAAGGCAAGATCTACCCGCCACGTTAGCCTGTGAAGTTCGCGGCCTGCTATGCGCCTTGCAAATTTAATTATTTTGTTAATTCTTTTCCCTTGCGTCACGCCAAATTTCCCCATACCGCTAAACAGAATCGGATCATTGCAAATATTCACATATTTGCAATGACAGTTGGTGTTACAAATCGCCCCCGGCCGCTCGGCTGTGTCAGTACTGGCCGTGTCAGTGTCTGACACTCTGGTGTCAGTGGTGCAGCGGGGAGCTGGCGGCAGCTCCGTCCGACTGCAGTCAGCTGACACAGCTCTGTCCGACAGGGCCGGAGGTGACGGAGCCGAGGTGGCCGGAATGGGACGAGGATGATGGTCTGTCGGTATCTCTCCAGGGGGTGGCTGCCAACAACATCAGTCACCTGGCTGACCTGGCACGGACGGTCACAGTACTGGAGATATACGGTGAGCAGCGGCAGCACGGACAGGCCGCTGATATACGAGCTCAGGGAATGGCGGACACCGAGTAACGGTGTGCCGTTGTCGGACCTCATGGGGACAGGTGCGATACATAGCCAATGTGCTTTGCGAAATAATGAAGCCAATTGAGCTCCTAAATGGAGGAGTACTGTACAACCAATGACCTATTCGTTCAGAGTTTGTTAGGCATACGCATAACGATTGTATGGGAATATTCAATGTCTGGACCCATTGAACATAATATGTTTATACCCCTTGTCTGCCCTGTCCATAAAACCATACGAATTCATAGGTATTGTTTCGTCCTTCCATATATCAAGATGAATTACAGCCGGCTGATCCTGTCTCTGTGTCTGTGTGTTTTCCAGACTGTCCTGATCTCACGGCCGGCAGCCTGAAGCCCCTCACCAGGTGCCCTGGGCTGGAGCGCCTATCAGTCACCGCCGCCGACCTCCCGCTACTGAGGGGGCAGCTGCCGGAGCGCCTCATGTACCTCAATGTCAGAGGTGAGGTATAACGCAGGTCACACATGTTGGTAATGTCGGTATATACAATGGACAGCGGGGACGGCAAATGGACGAACTGATCAGCCTCAACTAGCAAGTTTCATCGTTAATCGTGTATATTACTCGTATTGTGGTGAGAGGGGGAAGGGGTTCAATGCATGCCTTCGATAGTGTTCATGCTTTTGGCATATGCGTGGAATATTAGTGTAACGTCACGGGGTGATTTTTAAGTTGAGGTACTAGCGATAGTTGCATTGTCACAAGCAGCAAATTTCCGAACATACGCATTGAGCATTAATCGACAACTGACACTGACTGACTACATAGAGAGCGTACTGACGACGAGTCTGAGCAGACTGACGAGACTGACTGGCCGCGGCCCTGGCGCGGCGGTTATACAGAGTATAGGTGGCGCCACGATCGAAGGCGACCAGCACGGGAATGCAGGCATTGGCCATTGCTTGGCGGGGGGGGGCCTCAGGAGCCCCCCCTGAGGTTTTTTGGTTATATCTCCCAAACGCGTTGAGCTAGGAAGCTCAAATTTTCTGACTTTTCCTAAAAGGCTTCTACGCAACATGTCTGAAAATTTTGAGTTGATCTGACCTCAGGTCAGGTCACCAGAGGCGGTTTGGTGACGCTACCTCAGAAAAGTTTGCAATCACGCCAGAGCTAGAGTTTTTGACCGATCAATTTCTTCTCTTCAGGGTTTAGTTAGGGTACCAGTATGTGCAATTTGTATATCTCGGAATTTTGATATCGGTGACCTAAGGTCAGGTCAATTTCGCGACCTCCCCATTATAAGTCAATGGGGGAAAAATCAACTCCCTGTTTTTACCACTAAAACGGGTCGGAATGGCCCCATATACCATACATGACTTCATATACGATCAACCTTCACTACCTTGAGGTCTGTTTTGCTGTTGGGCAGCTGTGAGGTCATGTGACGTCATCAAAGGTCACCAAAGGTTTTTGGCCAATAACTCCGTACAGGAACAAGATACAGACGCGTGGATGGTCTCATTGTGTTCAGCTCGTCAAGACGCATCGAATGATATACATGATGACCTCGAGGTCACGTGACCTGAGGTCAACCTTTGACCTTGACCTTTCGAGGTCAACATATATATCATTCGATGCGGATTGACGAGAGGATCACGATGATGCCCTTAGTTTGTTCCTATCTTGACTAATTCGAAAGTTATTCGAGAAAAACTCTCTCCATATCTAGTGCCGCCATTTTGACTTTTTCGACCCCTGTGACGTCATCTTTGACCTGACCTGAAAATGACCTTTGTAAAAATTGTAGATCTTGGCCGTGCGTATCCGATGCCGTTTACCGCTTGTCGCTATCTTGCTTCGTTCTCGAGATCTCAGGGGGGGGCCGAATCGGCCCCCCCCCGCCAGTTTCTTGTCCCGGCGGAGCCCGCCAGGAATAGGGTTAAACGGCTTCATGATTGACAGAGCGCTCGAGCCGCTCGAGCCATACAACATAATTTCCATGAACCTCGCTTTCGATTGACGTTAAAATTTTACATGTCACGCGCATATTTTTCTTTGTACTTCTAATTAAAATTTGGTACTTTTTTCTGGGACACCCGGTATTTTTAAAGTCGCAATCTTATGCTCCAAGGCAAGATCTACCCGCCACGTTAGCCTGTGAAGTTCGCGGCCTGCTATGCGCCTTGCAAATTTAATTATTTTGTTAATTCTTTTCCCTTGCGTCACGCCAAATTTCCCCATACCGCTAAACAGAATCGGATCATTGCAAATATTCACATATTTGCAATGACAGTTGGTGTTACAAATCGCCCCCGGCCGCTCGGCTGTGTCAGTACTGGCCGTGTCAGTGTCTGACACTCTGGTGTCAGTGGTGCAGCGGGGAGCTGGCGGCAGCTCCGTCCGACTGCAGTCAGCTGACACAGCTCTGTCCGACAGGGCCGGAGGTGACGGAGCCGAGGTGGCCGGAATGGGACGAGGATGATGGTCTGTCGGTATCTCTCCAGGGGGTGGCTGCCAACAACATCAGTCACCTGGCTGACCTGGCACGGACGGTCACAGTACTGGAGATATACGGTGAGCAGCGGCAGCACGGACAGGCCGCTGATATACGAGCTCAGGGAATGGCGGACACCGAGTAACGGTGTGCCGTTGTCGGACCTCATGGGGACAGGTGCGATACATAGCCAATGTGCTTTGCGAAATAATGAAGCCAATTGAGCTCCTAAATGGAGGAGTACTGTACAACCAATGACCTATTCGTTCAGAGTTTGTTAGGCATACGCATAACGATTGTATGGGAATATTCAATGTCTGGACCCATTGAACATAATATGTTTATACCCCTTGTCTGCCCTGTCCATAAAACCATACGAATTCATAGGTATTGTTTCGTCCTTCCATATATCAAGATGAATTACAGCCGGCTGATCCTGTCTCTGTGTCTGTGTGTTTTCCAGACTGTCCTGATCTCACGGCCGGCAGCCTGAAGCCCCTCACCAGGTGCCCTGGGCTGGAGCGCCTATCAGTCACCGCCGCCGACCTCCCGCTACTGAGGGGGCAGCTGCCGGAGCGCCTCATGTACCTCAATGTCAGAGGTGAGGTATAACGCAGGTCACACATGTTGGTAATGTCGGTATATACAATGGACAGCGGGGACGGCAAATGGACGAACTGATCAGCCTCAACTAGCAAGTTTCATCGTTAATCGTGTATATTACTCGTATTGTGGTGAGAGGGGGAAGGGGTTCAATGCATGCCTTCGATAGTGTTCATGCTTTTGGCATATGCGTGGAATATTAGTGTAACGTCACGGGGTGATTTTTAAGTTGAGGTACTAGCGATAGTTGCATTGTCACAAGCAGCAAATTTCCGAACATACGCATTGAGCATTAATCGACAACTGACACTGACTGACTACATAGAGAGCGTACTGACGACGAGTCTGAGCAGACTGACGAGACTGACTGGCCGCGACCCTGGCGCGGCGGTTATACAGAGTATAGGTGGCGCCACGATCGAAGGCGACCAGCACGGGAATGCAGGCATTGGCCATTGCTACAATTAGTGAGCAGTTATTCCAATGAGGAATGAGTATAGATATAGTGCAAACTGCAAACAATGAGAGTAGCATAAGTAGTTTCATAGACTATTGTATTACGCATATACTTATCGCATATACGTATTATGTTCATATTCACATTTTACATATGACTGCTGCTGCTAACAAATTGCTGTGCGGCCGCTCGTCTGTTTCAGTGCTGACTGTGTCAGTGTCTGACACTCTGGTGTCAGTGGTGCAGCGGGGAGCTGGCGGCAGCTCTGTCCGACTGCAGTCAGCTGACACAGCTCTGTCCGACAGGGCCGGAGGTGACGGAGCCGAGGTGGCCGGTATGGTACGAGCATGATGGTCTGTCAGTGTCGCTCCAGGGGGTGGCTGCCGACACCATCAGTCACCTGGCTGACCTGGGACGGACGGTCGGACTACTGGATATATACGGTGAGCAGCGGCAGCACGGACAGGCCGCTGATATATGTACGAGATCAGCGAATGGCGGACACCGAGTAACGGTGTGCCGTTGTCGCACCTCATTGAGACAGGTGTGATTCATAGCCAATGTGCTTTGTGAAATAATGAAGCAGACTGAGCTTCAAAATGGAGGAGGACTGTTCACTCAGTGACATATTCGTTCAGAGTTAGTTGAACATACCTACATATTGCGATTGAAATGCAATGTTTGGTGCACTTCAATGCATTGGCTGAATTCATTGCATATTCATAGATAACATGAACATTCATGTTATCATGTTAATTCATTCATGTTATCACATTCATTCATGTTTATATGGCATATCATATAGAACCACTGTTACACCAAGGCTTACGGTGTCTATAAAACCATGCAAATTCATAGCTGTTTCGTTTTTTTTCCATATATTTACATGTATTCCTGCCGACTGATCCTGTCTGTATGTGTGTCTGTGTGTTTTCCAGACTGTCCTGATCTCACGACCGGCAGCCTGGAGCCCCTCACCAGGTCCACTAAGCTGCTCAGTCTCACCCTGTCCGGCGGCGTCCCTGACACCGTGAGCCTGGAGCCCCTCACCAGGTGCCCTAAGCTGTGGGAGCTCACCCTGTCCGTCGGTGTCCCTGACACCGTGCTGGACAGTCTCAGCGGCTGGCCCGGGCTGAAGGTCCTTAAACTGGGGGACCGTCAGCGGCCGGCAGAGACGGCCTTCACAGCAGCAGCGGTCACCAGGTCAGTCAGCAGACACTGGCGAGGCGGGTCCTGTCAAACACTGACATTGACACACTGACACTGACACTGATACACTGACACACTGACACTGACACATTGAAGCTGACACACTGACACTGACACACTGACACTGACACACTGACACTGACACACTGACACTGACACACTGACACTGACACACTGACACACTGACACTGACACACTGACACTGACACACTGACACTGACACACTGACACTGACACACTGACACTGACACACTGATACTGACACACTGACACTGATTCACTGACTGACACGAGCTCTGACACAATGACTGCACTCTGACACAGGCACACTGACACACTGACATTGACACACTGACACCGACACACTGACATTGACACACTGACATTGACACACTGACACTGACATACTGACACTGACACACTGACACAATGACACTGACACAATGGCACTGACACAATGACACTGACACAATGACACTGACACAATGACACTGACACATTGACACTAACACAGTGACACTGACACATTGACACTGACAAATTGCCACTGACACCAACACACAGACACTGAACTACTGACACACTGACACTGACTCGTACGTCCGGCCGGCTGGTGCCGCTTTGTTTGTGTGTGACGGCTCTGCTGCTCTGCTCTGTTACAGACTGGTGAAGTCGTGTCGGAAGCTGGACCGTCTGTACCTTCACTGCACGGCAGACACCGGCCGGACCGTGCTGACCGCCCTGAAGGAGGCGGACCTGCAGTACAGTGATGGCCGGCCCCGTACCATCGGTCTCAATGTCCCCGGTAGGTGAGAGGGCGCCGCGCGCCGCGCCTCTGACCAGTCAGTCCCTCTCACAACAGACGCTGCACGGCGCCACCGGCCTCTCAGACACACACTCGACCACCGCCGCAGGCCACGTCACGGACGGTGACATGACGCGTCACGGCCACCACGGCCGACGGTGACGTCACGTCAGCCGTCTGTCCTGTGTGTGACGTCACTGGCCGGCGGTGTGTGGACATGGCTGTACCGCTGTCTGTGTGTGTGTCTGTGTGTGAGGTGTCCACCTCAGACGTGTCTCTGCTCTGTCCACAGTGGAGCTGTACCGTCAGCTGTTGAGCCAGGAAGGCGGTCGGGTCATAGTGTGTCATTGGTGGTGCAATTGATGCGCTGCACTACCAGTACCGACCGTGCATGCAGTGATGAGCTGACTGCAGAGAGGCCGAGCCAGTCGGCCGGGGCCGCCAGCTGACTGCTGCCGTGTGTGCTGCACCAGCCGGCACTGAGAGCGGCGCCGGTCAGCCGGCACACGGCCCCGGTGTCCGCTCTAGTGTAGTGATGTAGTTGTAGTAGTAGTAGTGTAGATGTAGTAGTAGCACACGGATGTGATGTAGTGGGTAATTACCGGGCGGGTATTGTGGGTAATTGACTGGACGGATATGATCTAGTGGGTAATTACCGGGCGGGTATTGTGGGTAGTTGGACGGTGAAAAGTGATGTGACTGAGTGTAGAAATTGATCGTGACATTGCGATATTTTGAATAAAAAAAAACACATCTTAGCTTAGCTGTATAAATGCGGGCCCTCCCGGACCGTCCGACTCGGTTCACCGCGCCTGGTCCACCCGGCGCGGCCTCAGTCACGTGACCGCCTCCCGGTGGAGTCGGACGGCTCGGTCACGTGACCGCCGTGCCGGGTCGGGCGGCTCGGTCACGTGACCGCCGTGCCGGCTCGGCTCGGCGGGCAGTCGGACGGGGACGCTGTCTCACCGGGCACCGAGGTGCACAGTAGTGATGTCAATTACAGAAAATCAGAATACCGATACCTAACCAAATACCAACCGAAAATCCCGAGAAAATACCGAAACCAAACCAACTTGGGAAAATGAGGGAAATACCAACTTTTTACCTATTTCTTAGCCTCTTATACCTACATTACTGAGGGTTTATAATACCAACAAAATACCAATCACATTACGATTGAAATACCAAGTACCAAGTTGGTATCGGTTTGGTATCGGTATACCAAAACGTTGGTATCCGATTGACATCTCTAGTGCACAGCGCGCCATGTTGCGTGCTCTGGATGCGTGTTGTGACACTCACACGGACAGGTATATATCAATATAGGGGAAGGTGGGGTAAGACGGACCAGCTAAGGTTTGAGGCCGCATATCTTGCTACACTGCTCTCGTAATTGGCTCTCGGGATGGCTGGTGGTCCGTCTTGCCCCGCTGGGCCGTCTTACCCCACCTTCCCCTACTACTGGATAGGCCGTCCGAGCTGTATAGGCGGTGTCAGTTGAGACGCCGACTCACAGCCGCGCCCGCCCGGCCGCTCCGGCAAGCGGGTGTCTGTTCTACTCTCTGTCTACTATACATACACGGGAGGAGTTGCTTGAGCTGTATCATATATGTAGCCTTCAATACACCAATGAGCAGTGTGCCGAGTGTTTGTCCGACTGCACCGTCCGCCCCGCCCCGCTGTGAACCGTCATTTTCCGCCCCGCTCCGCTGTGGACCGTCATTTTCCGCCCCGCTCCGCGCGGTCACAGACAGTCCGCCCCGGCGGAGCGGAGCGGCAGTCTCCGTACACCGTCTCCGTACCCGTCATATACGGACCGTACAGCAGCCGTACACACTGTAGACATTGCAGTGACACACACATGGACATACACGGACAGATCCACATCGACACGGGAGACACCTCGTCACGGAGACACGGAGACACCTCGACACGGACAGACACGGACATACACGGAGACACCTCGACACGGACACACACGGTGCCCGGCTTCTGCCCGGCCATATCCACTCGAGCTACAGCGAAACAGGTGATGAGTGAAAGTCAGAACTACTGGACTGATGTGGGATTATAATCAGCACCAAGTCCCCCCGTCCCGGCCATACAGCGGCGCGGCGCGGCTGCAGAGCTGTCTGCCGACCGGTGCGGTGCCGCCGGCCGTGGCCGCTCGTCTGTCGGCGGCCCGGACTGCAGCCGGTTGCCGAGCTGCCGGTCCCGGCGACTCGCTGCCGGCTGGGCTGACCGCCGTCAGTCACCTGAGCGGTGCTGGCCGGCCCGAGCCGGGGCTGCGGCGCGCCGCGGCACCTCAGCGACGCACCCTCTGGGACACTGAGCGGCGCGCACCGGTGGGACGGTCTCTGCCGACTGTCCCCACCCCATGAGTGGGACTGGTGGGACTGTCTCTGCCGACTGTCCCTACCCCATGAGTGGGACCGGTGGGACTGTCTCTGCCGACTGTCCCTACCCCATGAGTGGGACCGGTGGGACTGTCTCTGCCGACTGTCCCTACCCCATGAGTGGGACCGGTGGGACTGTCTCTGTCGACTGTCCCTACCCCATGAGTGGGACCGGTGGGACTGTCTCTGCCGACTGTCCCCACCCCATGAGTGGGACCGGTGGGACTGTCTCTGCCGACTGTCCCTACCCTATATGTGGGACCGGTGGGACTGTCTCTGCCGACTGTCCCTACCCCATGAGTGGGACCGGTGGGACTGTCTCTGCCGACTGTCCCTACCCCATGAGTGGGACCGGTGGGACTGTCTCTGCCGACTGTCCCTACCCCAGGAGTGGGACCGGTGGGACTGTCTCTGCCGACTGTCCCTACCCTATATGTGGGACCGGTGGGACTGTCTCTGCCGACTGTCCCTACCCCATGAGTGGGACCGGTGGGACTGTCTCTGCCGACTGTCCCTACCCCAGGAGTGGGACCGGTGGGACTGTCTCTGCCGACTGTCCCTACCCTATATGTGGGACCGGTGGGACTGTCTCTGCCGACTGTCCCTACCCCATGAGTGGGACCGGTGGGACTGTCTCTGCCGACTGTCCCTACCCCATGAGTGGGACCGGTGGGACTGTCCCTGCCGACTGTCCCTATCCCATGAGTGGGACCGGTGGGACTGTCTCTGCCGACTGTCCCTACCCCATGAGTGGGACCGGTGGGACTGTCTCTGCCGACTGTCCCTACCCCAGGAGTGGGACCGGTGGGACTGTCTCTGCCGACTGTCCCTACCCCAGGAGTGGGACCGGTGGGACTGTCTCTGCCGACTGTCCCTACCCCATGAGTGGGACCGGTGGGACTGTCTCTGCCGACTGTCCCTACCCCATGAGTGGGACCGGTGGGACTGTCTCTGCCGACTGTCCCTACCCCATGAGTGGGACCAGTGGGACTGTCTCTGTCGACTGTCCCTACCCTATATGTGGTGGTCCGTTTCTGCGGCGGCCGCTGAGCCCCCAACCCTGTCCTTCTCCTCTCCCCAGTCCGCTGTGCAGGGTCGCTCGAGGTCACGTGGTCAACTGGATGTCTTCTCCAATGCACCTTGTATTCATCGATCGACCTTACACACCACCGTGCAGTCACATGACTACGACCCGACTCCCCTCCGTGCCGTCCGACGCGCCGGCATGGCCCCACAACTGGGACAAACGGCCGCCGGGGACGCTCCTATGTCCGATGTTCGTCTCCGTCCACACCGGAGAGGACAGAGCAGGCGGCGGCCGGCCGACGCTGCCCGCGGCGCCGAGGTGACAGCCTCAGACCTCGCTGCTCCCAGTACGCTACACTGCACAGTGGGGATTTTTCCGATCTAGCGCGTCTTAATCCAAAAATCTTTTTTTGGATTTTTGTTTATTTTTTGTGTCAGTGGGGCTAAGAAATGCCTGAATTTTTCATATATGGCATTGTTTTATCTGTATGTCCACAGCAAGACTAGGAAAAATGCGCCCAAAGTTCACACTCATGCGTGATTACTCAATGGGCTCAGTAAGGCCCGAAAGTATAGCTCAATTTCATTGTCCAGTCCTGTTGGTTTTATTCTTCCGAAGTCTTTAAGTTGCATATCTTCTGAAAGGTACCTTTATTAGGAATGGAATGGCAAACAGAAAGTATGCCACAACCTTACTAAGGTCACAAAAATGCCATTTACAAAAAAAAAGTACAGAAACCGTATTGAAGGAATGGTATTCTAACTAAATGTAGGAAATCAACAATGTTTTCCACACTTTTCCACTCCTTAACATATCCTATCGAATTCGCCACTTTCTCCTGCACAAGACAACGCCTAGTTTGGTTGCAGAGACTTGCCTGAACACGGAATATTCACATTAGAGTATCTTAACCCTCGCCCGTAAACGGCGATCTGCCACCTTCGCCCATGAAGGGGGGGGGGGGGTGGTGCGACCCCCCCCCTTGGCGTTTGAAAACGGAGCGTCGTAGAGCTTAGCGGAAATCACCAACGGATTGCTCTCGCCGAGATCTCGCGATTGGTGATATATTTTTTGGTCCTAGGTCAACATTTGACCTACTTATGACCGGTCAAAGGTCAAATTTTCCGAAAAAATCAAACTTTTTCAACTTTCCGCGGCGATTGCGGCAAAAAAGTGGGAGATATCGACTTGAAACCTTCACTATCGTGTTCCTTGATCAATTCTCTATCGTTTGGTATGTATTTCGTTTCCCTAGCTCTAAAAATGGCGCGTTGGGAGCGCCGGAAGTCGGCAAGGTCACAGTCGGCGGCATAAATTCGAAAAATCAAAAATTTAATTTTTGAAATCTGATTGTATTTTTGGATTTGGGAGGTCCATTTGCTCCCTATAGAAGCTAATATTGCTGCATATTTTCATTGAGGTGACAAGAATTAGCAAAATAGTGGTTCGGGCGCTTTTCAAAAATAGTACCGGACGCTGTTCCTCTTGTGACGTCATAGCTCCGTGACCTGACCTGACCCGGTCAAGTTTCTTATACCATATGATAGCCAATACTTGCCCCAACATGCATGGGAAGTTTCATCACGATCCATCAACCGATGTCCGTACCACCGGCAGGAAACCTCGGGCGTTGGCACTCAGTTTGTGAAAATCCGGCCGGAGGCTGTTCCCTTTGTGACGTCATAACTCCGTGACCTGACATGACCCGGTCAATTTTTTTTTATCAAAAGATGCGCAAGGTTTGCCCCATAAGGTACCTAAAATTTGGTGGCGCTGCGCGCCGCCGTTTTTGCACTATTTCCGAAAAACCTCAGGGGGGGGGGGGTTGCACCAACCCCCCCCCCCTACATGGGCGAGGGTTAATACCCCACTCTAAGAGCGCTAGTGCAAACAGCACGATCTAGTTATGTTCCGAATATAGGCGAATAATTTTACTTCGTGATTTATTGACAAGCGTAAATTATACATACTGTAACCGTAACCTTATTAACCCCCGCCCTTGTGGGGAGGGGGAGGGGGAAGGGGTCGGATAAAACCCCATGGTTTTTCCGCAAATTACTCGCGCAAAAAGCGGCCGATCGCGCCG